GTGCTTCCAAAGAAATGCCGCCTTTACCCTCTGGGCAAATTTGACGAATTAATATTTTAATTTTGAACTGACCGACGTAAACAGCACACTATTCAAGCACGATTAGTTCATATTCTTCTCGCGCGTTATATTTGCCCAATCAGAAAAAAGTTGTCAAATAAGGGATTTCTGGGGTGGGGAATTCTATAGTTGACGACAATCTAACCAGCGAAATTCCGTTAGAGGAAATTGGAAGTTGTTCAAGAACCAGCCGTTTGTTTGTTTACGATGCGAATCCTCGAGATATTTGAGGTGTAGTATTTCTTCATAGCAAACACGTTACACCTTGCCAAACCATTAGCTAAATCAAAATCATTGTAGCTAACCTTTACTGATGTGAATCAGAAATTTAATATATAGACAAAGTGCGTTAGTGCACGCAGTAATCTGGTTTTCAACATAAGATACGCATTAACATCGTGGAACGAAATATCTATTCGAGAGGTATAGCTTCCGCGCAAGGTGAATTATCGAAACATACATTTACGAGCAGTTTTAGGATTCTTAGAATCACAATAAATTACGAAGTTATTAAGGAGTTAAAGAATAAGGCACGAGATGGCTCTTTGTTGTCAGACAAAAATATTAATTGTAATACGGAACCTACTGATTCACGGCATTGAAATATTCAAGACATTTACTTTTCTTATAATAAAGTCACATTGATAAATATCACAATAAACAAATTATTAATTCATCTAATCGAATATCAAAAGTTGAAACAGTGTTTTATTAAAAGAATTATTTCAGCTCATATTGGCCTGCCTCATCAAGAATTGGGTTTAATCTTTCCTTTTCTTTCCATTAGTATTCTCGTTTTCCCTCCTACCCTTCTGTTTCCTAATTTTTTAAATTCTGACAGTCATATATGTTGCGCGAACAATTTGAAAAATAATTCATTTTATAGTCACCAGCGCCCCTCTGCTAAAGTGGCATTCTTAGTGCGCGCGTGAAGATTTAAATTTTTTAACCAATTGTGTAGATTTTACTTCTTCCCGCCCACTATCTTTTAAAAATAAGAACTCTTGTCCCCTAAACATTTATTTAAAAAATGTAAGCGAAAGTTGGAAATGTTAAAACAACGGTCAACAACCTTCAACCAACCATTGCGATCTCATCATTTTCGTGAAAGTCCTCTTCGTATGCGCGTAAGATAAGGCTATGTTTTGAGTGCGGTATATCCGCAGAGTATGTTGAAACAAAAGTGACCGACTTCTTATTGAACTTTCATCTTTGTTAGGATTGAACGGCCTATGTGCACCCGGCCTTATCTTGTTGCCTTCGTTGCGCTAATCAGTGCAAAGTAGCATAACTTCGAATGCGTACGTTCATCAAGCTGTTCAGAAAAAATTTGGATTAATGCCAAGTCCCCACGAGACCAATTTGTCACAGCTTAAGGCTTCTGCTCCAAATTAACTTTGATATGTGCAAGGAATTCCATTTTATGCTCTGTCTAATTTTACTTAATGAAAGTGTCGTTTCCAAAAAGGAGACTCACATTAGCCTTTAACCAGTCGCACCGCTTGTTCTATGACGTATTAATGACGTATATTTTGCAGCTTTTATTGTCATAATTTACAATTAATATAAACTCCTTAATTGAGGTAGCAGATTTTTGGACAAATTAGAATGTGTTTGTGTTTTTGGAATCCTCTCACAGCTGCAAGGCTCTAAATTTACCGTCGATGATCTGCCTGGGCGTCCTTCTTTGTCAAAACTGTACTCG